AAAATAAAAATAAAAAAATTATATAGATGCATGTAAACAGTATCTCTAAAAAGATTCTCAAACACAATAAATGATTGAAACTTATCAAGTCAACATTTTTGGAGCACAAGCTTAATTTTAAAATCAGAACGGGAGGTACAACTCAAGGTGAGCACACTTAGCATATACAAGATCCTAGGTTTAACCCCTAACATATGTATACATGCACATTTGCATATTTAATTTAGAAAATTTAAATCTAGAGTGACTAGCATCAGGAAAGAGACCAAAATCAACCTTTATAAACATGAAAGCAAGAGCTATTAAGAATGTGAACAAACTAATAATTTTATTATTTGTTCTAATTTGCCATTCCAAAGAAAAGACACATTAAACTAAAAAGAAGCAATTTTTGGTATCCTTGACTTCAAAAAAGAATCATGATTAATTCATGGTTTGAGGATGGGCGTGATGGCACGCACCTGTAATCCCAGCACTGGAAAGGCTGAGACAGACAGATCACCTCGAGCTTCAGGCCAGCCTATGCTACACAGTGAGTTCAAGATCAGCCTGAACTACGTGGTGAAATCTTGTCTCCAAAAACCAGAAAACAAATAAAAAATTCATCATTCATTATCTGCTAAAGTTAATGAGACAAATCAAAGTTAAAACAGCACTCAATCAGAGCCAGGCAAAGTGGTTCACGCCTTTAATCCCAGCACTTGGGAGGCTAAGGCAGGATGATTGTTGAGAACTCAAGGCCGGAGTGAACTGTGTAGTGAGACCCGTCTCAAAAGAAAGACAAAGACACACACACACACACACACACACACACACAGACAAAACAGCACTTAAATGGAAGTTATTCAATTTAAAAGGACTTCTTTTAATGGAAACAAGTCATTTTCTCATTTATTCACCAAGTCTCTCCCTTCTGCACCATTCTATAAATTGAACCAGAGACCACTGAGTTGCAAACCCAGTCCTCTCTTTTTTTCATTTTTTGTTTGGACACAGGATCTCACTAAATTGCCCCGGCAGACTTCAAACTTATAACCCTCCTGTCTCAGGTTCTCCAGCAACTAGGGTTATAGGTGTGTACTACCTTGCTCAGTTTAACAAAATGTGAGTGCAAATCATTTTTGTCCTTAAATTTGACTTCACAAAATGTTTCCTCTCATAAACCGTAACTTCATACTTACCAAGGTAATAGATCCTGTCCGAATGAGGCCCATCTGGATCGTTCCGCTTCACGAACATAAAATCATGTGGGGCCTTGGCCATCATGTAGCCATGGTATTTTCTGGTATCAGCAAGCAGCTTTTTAAGCTGACTCCAGGAATATCGCTCAACATAAAATGGCTCCAATTTGGGCCGATCCTGTGATTCAATATTTTCCTCACACTCTGCAGTTTCAAATATCTCAACACCCAGCTGCTCTGTCTCCATTGCTGCTGCCATGTTGCATTTTCCTAGAAAACAAGGCACATGAAGAAGCTGCTCACACGGCCAGTTTCTACATGGTCAGGAGGCATCTGGCGGGCCAAAAACCAAAACAAAACCAAGAAAAATTCTTTCTAGCACAGCTGCGGTGAGATCTAGGAAGAAAGCAATAGCTCCCCCTTTTCTGTGCTGTTTTAACATGACATTTAAAAAAACTGAGGTCATGTCAATTCCAGTGACTAGAAATTCCTTGCAGAACTTTTATAAAAGGCTCTCTCTCCTTAGGTATCTCCTGCCAAAGTATTTTTCTTTCCCACACTGGAAGGAAGCAGGCCTGGTGCCAGCTGGCTGCTTTGCCCCACCGAGAGGGAGTGCACAACAGTGACGCTCAAAGTGCCAAGGGACTTAAGTGTCACCACACTTAAGAAGTAGCACCTTTGACAAATGTGAATTTCCCTGGTTAAGAAAAGTAATCACAACCAATTAGAACAGTAGTAACAATGACACAAGCCATGTACTTGCTAATCTTTCTAGGGCACTAACTTAAATGTAACTCTAAACAAAGAACACGTAACCTGGGAGGCAGGTGTCTGCAATGGCATCTGATTAGATATAATTACCACGGAACACTTGCATGACTCAGTATTTTAAGGAAACTTACATGACTATCATTGCAGATTATGTAACTCACTGTTTCAACAGAAATATGACTAAGTAGCTTTAATTAGCTGAAGTAGTTGATGAAGTATTTAATGTTTGTATCAACATTTTAATAAAAGTTTGAACTCAGCTTACCAGTCCAATGCCCTATTATCACATGTACTAATAATGCTTATTTTACAAATCTTGAAGATGCATTTTTTCCTTTATCTTTTCCAATTTTAAATTTAACTTAAATCACTGGTACTGCAAAAAAATTTAACTTAAAGTACCAAATACCAAAAAAAAGTCATTAAAAAGTGAGATTCTGGCAAGCATTTATTCATGGCACTACCAAAAAAACCCCAAAAAACAAAAAAAAAATAAAAAACCAAACAAACAGAAACATAAAAATAATGGAACAAACTGCTCTTTTTCAACTAATTGGTTGAAAAACAATTATAAACTTGAAGATAAGCCGAACTGCAATTATGTAACCCAATTTCACACAATTAACTTCTAGACACACATTGATATATGCCTGTATGCTTAAGATGCCGGTATGCTCTTTTTAAAGCTGCATTTTGCAGGCTGACATCAACTCATGGCAAGAAGCAACTCTGAGAGAGTTATTAGCTGGTGTGGGCTATGAA